AATCGTATCGAAATCGTATCAAACCGCAGCAAAACGTATCCGAACCTGTATCCGAACCGTATCCAAACCGTATCCAAACCGTAAACCCTAAGAAAATCATAAGAAAATCGTAACCGGAAGGATTCCTGAAATCATATCAAAACCGTATCGAAATCATAACAATAACTATTCCTGGAAATCGGAGCCTGCCAGCACTCTGAATGTCCTAATGTTAAACCTCACAATCCCGGCAAATCGAAGCTCAACCCTAAACGCTAAACCCTAACAACTCATCAGGGAGCATCTGAAGAAATCGGAGTTTAAATCTACCTAGAGTCTCCGAGGTAGACTCACCTTACAGGATCCTGGCTATAAAATTGGCTCAACAAAAAAGGAACTACAACGGAGACTACAGGTATGTACTTGAGGCACTTGGCAGGGGGGCGCGGTGCTTCGGACTTATAGCTCATCACTCGTTTACATATGTTACTGTATATAGCATAAACCTTGGCCGTAGAATACCCATACGGGAACCCCTTGAAGTCCAAAATACACCGTGTGCTATATTGGTTCATGAAGGTAGAGACCACAGAGCACGAGGCCAATGTTGAAAAAGCTAGCCTAGGCCTTACAACCCTAAACCCTAAACCTTAAAACCTACATATGGGGCCCCAAAAAAGCACATAAGCAAAAATTAGGATAGGGATATCCCATATAAACCCCCTTATAATGAAGCCCAATAAGGTCGGGACATCCCTATGAAATGCTTATGCTTATGTCCTTTTTGGGTTCCTAAACATACTAAACCCTAAACCCTCAACTAGAACCCTGGACCCTGAGCTCCTGTACCAACCCTAGAACAAATTCTCATAGTGGCCCGCAGCCCTAAACTAAACGCCTGAACCTATATCCCTATAAAGGGTTTTAGGGTTTAGGCTGTACCCCTATCTCTAAGCAACGCCTGAACCTATACCCCTATAAAGGTCTTGCAGGCCGGGGTTCCGACCCTAACGTGCAAACCGGGGTTGGGGTTCGGGTTAGCCCGAAAACCTCCGGACAGGGGTTGGGGTTCGGGTTAGCCTAACCCTAACCTGCAAGGGTTTTAGGGTTTAGGGTGTACCCCTATCTCTAAGCCCGAAACCCCTCAATTCTTGGCGCACACTCCTCGGACCCGATCCTAGACCCTAGAAAACCCGCCTAGTGACACGAGGTCCGTATCAAACACTCCTAGAGAAACAGAAGCTAAAACCCGAAACCCTAAAGCCTAGACTCTAAACAAGGGCACCAGGCATGGGCCCCCGCCGTGGGGCTACCAGAGACGTTAGAGCAGCCGCGGCGCCGCGGCGCTGGCCCCACTCCGGCCTGGGTACCACAACCCGAAACCCGAAACCAAAAACCCTAAATCCGAAATTCGATGAACCCGAAAATCCTTAATGCGAAACATAGATTCTTGAGGGATCCTTAGTCAAGGGACCAAGTAGCATCAAGGTACATGGGTAGTGATGGCGGTTTTGAAGGGTACATTGCACCACCCTAAACTCTAAACTCTAAACCCTGAACCCTTAAACCCTAAAGCCCTTCACGTTTACGGTCCTTTTAAGTACAACGTTTAGGGGTGTCGGGTGGTAAATTTAATACTTATGGTCGCACCTTTTCTGGGGTTGAGAAGGATAAAGGCCTACTTGGGTGTGAAGGGGAGGCGACAGTTCAGGGTTTAGGGTTTAGGNNCCCTAAACCCTCAACCCTACTTGTAAAGTCTATGATGCAAGGGTAGGGCCGAATAGCTTGTTTTGGTAGCATATTCACAGCAACTGTATACTTACTTCCAAAATACCAGGGGGTGACAAATTCAAACTGCAACAAGAAGATTGCGATTACCGTTTAGGAGCCCCGCCCCCCCCCCCCATCCAAAAAAAAAAAAAATGAGTTTTGGACCACCCATCGGAAAATATTGGT